TCTCCAAACCTTTTATGTATATATAAAGAAAAAAAGGGCTCATTGTTCTCAAGTCTCAACGTCTCCATTAGCATTATAACTTAGATGGTGCAGATTTATGTTCTGAACATTTTGTAGCAAAGAAAAGAAAAATCAAGCAAGTTCACTATGTGCAAGATTTAGACAAAATGAATTGTACAGTTCTGAGAACAAACCCTCCCCCAACTCTTTTTTTTTTCTTTTCACTATTAAGACAAATTAATCATCAAATTGAACTGAAAAAACTTTGAGAAAGCAGGCACCTTGGATATAGTATTGTAGTTGAGTACCATAATGTAGAGTAGGACTGACAATCTGGGTAGCGACATGACGATACAACACAAAATTCACACGAAATTAACGGGTTTGGATTTACTATAAATAAGTTTGGGTTATAATCGGATTGACACGATTAACAAGATTAATAAATTGGTTGGGTTAGGGTTGACCTCATAACACGAATTGACACGATTAACTATATGTGTCATATGCAATCTAATGATATGTAATATAACTTGAAAGTTTATATAACATAATAAATACAAATAATGTGAATTTTAATATTTATAGGTAAAATTCATTTATTTTTCTTAAATGAAAAGATAAATTGACTAATAAACATGTTAAACATGTCATGACCGTGTTAAATACGTCATTATTATATTAGTTATTTATTCAATATATTAATTTAAACATGTTATACATGTTGACACGATTATTACGATTACAAACACGACTTACTTGAATTGTCACCACAAATGTAGAGTAGAGACAATAATCGGTTTGGTCAAGTCTTCATAATTGCTCCCTATGTATTCCATCGCTCCAGTCCTATCCACATGCAGAAAGAGAAGAAAAAGAAAAGTCGGTTGATGAGAAAGGCTTGGTCATATTGTGGAAGTTTTGGAAAAGATGACGAGTGGTGCTTTTTTTGAACATCAGGAAGAGGATTGGCATTATCTTGTATTCGTGTCTATTACGAAGTTGAGTGGTGACACTTGAAAAATCGGACTTACTTCTTGTTCTTATGAGACTGATGAGACAGTACTTCATATGAACCACAAGCGATTCATTTTGTAATGTTATAATAAACTTGTATTACATCAAAAGTGAAAGGACTAGACACCTTGTTTCGTTCATAGAAGAACTTAAAATTCTTGGATCGATATAAGGTCTAACTTTTCTTGTGGAATTTCTCATAAAGGTCAAAATTCATGACATATTTAAAGAAATATCTGATTAACTTTTGACATTTGCTCTAGCATTTGGAACAAATATGCCTAAAACGTCTCATGATCATCATTACTTTGGTGCTTCTAACTACGTCACTATTTTGAACTTCTCATCAGTTCTTAATTGACAGTTTTTCACATTGCATCATTACTTCACAAGTGGGATTTCAAGTCGCTCTTTAGAATTCAGTTGAATACCTACCGACGCTAAAATCAAATTTTCATAGTACTAATTCTAACAACCGTTGATATTATGACTGAACTTCTTGTGTTTTTTTTTTTTCAAGCTTTTTATGGTAGAACATGCTATTTTATTTAATCGGTGGGGACTATATTTTTAATGTGAGACTAACATTTTAATAGGCCGAACTATAATATGAGTAATTTTGTATACCGCACTGTAAATTTTTAATACGAATTTGTACAGATTTAACTGTTAAAAAATTAATTTAATGATTAAAAATAATTATTTCTACTGGTGAAATAAAATAACATACTCACCCTAAAAAAAAAAAATTTTTTTTCAAAAAAAAAAAAATAATTCTTGCCTAAATGATTACGTTTATCATGAATGATTAATGGGGTCCAGTGGGATTACATGTTCCTTTTGTTGAAGGTGAATGATGAGGCAGTAGTTGTCATATTTAGCACAAAGTGTAGATCAGTCAGATCACTACTTATAATTAGTTGTCATTGAAGAAACCTCTAGTGCAGTGCGCTGGATGAGGTCTTTTATTTTTTTATTTTTTTATTTTTATTTTTTGAAGCTGAAGTAGGAACTCAATTATGCATCCCAGAAAGGATTAGTACAACACTACGACTAATTAAGAGGGTGGTCCAAATCCAATTTCATTCCGGATAGATATAAAATGGAAAAGATTTGAACTGCGTAATGGATTTAGATTCCAAAGAAAATAACATGACATGGTCATAGACTCATAGTGATGTGTCTCTTTTCCGAGCACGAAAATAAAACGAGTGTCACAAGGACCCGCATATATATAGGAGAAGAAGATTGAAAATTTTGGTGGTTTTATTTTTATTAATAAAATGAGAGTCATAGATCTTACAGGTAAAGTATAATAGAGAGAGGAGAAGAAGATCAAAAACCTTTTTTTTTTTCCTTTTTTTGCTGTTTCTTTGAATAGTTTTTGGTAAGCACAGCAAGCACACATTTTTAGGTCTCGTTCATTTTACCGATTTGAGTTTTCAATTCTAGGTTTTTACAGTTAAAATCTCTCAAAAAATATCACATTTAACTTTTTTTATTGCAGTTAAAAGCTCTCAGAAAATGTTACATCTCAACTCGAATTGAAAGCTCAAATCCGCGAAGCAAATGAGACCTTAGAGTTAAAAGAATTAGGTCAAAACTTGATCAAGAGTACTGTCTATGTCATATAAAAAAAATTATATTTATTCCCATTGAGATAAAACTCCATCACCTACTTAGTTAAACTCATTTTACGTGAATAGTGGAGTTTTAATTTCATTAAATAGGGATGCTCATGAGACTTGGAATCTCACTTAAAAGCTTTCGCTGCCTGTCCATCCAAGCTCCAAAATAAAATGTCGTTTTTATAATTATTATTATTATTGCCCCACAAGAAAATTAAAATAGAGTGGGTGATGCACGTGTTAGTTGTATCAAGAAAACCTTCTTGTAAAATTACATCACGTGGAATATTTAATATTGATAATACTATATAACGACATTATTTACAACAATGTGCTTCGTTACCTGAATTATAAAACGTAATTTTAAGATTAAGCTGCCTTATGTAGGCACAATGCAAGACTTAGAAGGGTAATTTTAAGATAATAATTTATATTTCGATTTCTTTCATGGCAAATAGGTTTGAGAAAGTACAATTTTTTTTTTTTTTTTGCTAATCGAGAAAGTACAAGTTGAAATGTGAAAAATACATATGTAATTTCTAAGAATAGAGGATTGTTGTTCATTTCTTATTCATTCAGGGGTGTCGGCCGGTGCTCCTTTTTCAAACCAGAATAATTCTGAAGATTACGGAGCTTGTTTCGTACCCTCGCAGGGAAATTCAAAATTTACTAAACATTAAAACTACAAAAATAAATTATGCAATTTTTAAATTTATTTTTTATTCTATGTGCATCTATATGTATATATATATATATAGACTAGTTATATACACGAGTTTTTAATAGTTACATTTCTATCGGTAGTTACTATTAAATATAAAAATATAATGACGTAAAGTGATAATAATTTAATATCGTTAATTGTATTAAATTTTTTTATCAACTATTCAATTTATCACGACCGTTACCATTGGATTAATATCTTTATCCGTTAGAATCATATCTTTATATATATATATATATAACAAATTAGATATTGCACCACCTCAAAAAAAATAAAAATATAAAAAATCTAATCTTTAAACTTCTAAAAATTAAGAAAAAAATACTACTTTTAAAAAAATGCCCTTAAAAGTATTACTTTCTAAAAACACAACTAATGTTAACTTTAAAAGCCTTTTAAAATAAGAATAAATAATACATATCTACTAATTTATCTACTTCTAATATTATATTAACTCTACTTGTTACTCCTACTATATAGAGGCATTTTTTGTTATGAATATTGTGAAAAATTGGCTACGAAATCGAATTGGAGATGAATTGATCAATAATACTTTACTTTTGTACATTGAAAAAATTATCTTCAATAACCTTGATAATATGGTTATTATGCAATATATTCTATGACTTGAAATCTTGTCGAGAACAAATTGTACTAACTTAACGGTTAATTTTGATCAAATTTTTTAATGTAGTTAAAATAACTCTCCCTCACCGAAATTTCTGACTTTGTTACTATTATAGATAGTCCTACCCTTATTAATATTTTCTAACATGACATTCATGTAGAAATGAGACATGTAACATGTTTTAAAAGCTTTTTCCACGTAATGAGAATAATAATATATGTTTCATAAAATAATATGACATTCTTGTAAAACTGAAAATTTATGTTAAAAAAAATATTTTTACTAATTGTAAATAAAATATTTACACAGTAAATTGTTATTTATCTGTTATTTATTGTATTTAGTTTCATAAATCTACTATTTACTACCATCTTCAAAATAAAAAAAAGTATTGGTAGTAAAAATAAAAAATAAAAAAAGTGTAGGTCGTGATTTTGCTTCACTTTTTTTAATATTATTTTGGCATACTAAATAAATCCTTAAATTTCGTCCTGTCAGATATCAATTCCAAGAAGTACATGATTAAAAGTCGGATGTGATTTGGAAAAAATAATACAAGATGATTGAAATTATTATGAAGATATGTAACATGACAGAATTAAAGATATTACAAGAATATCACGTTACATGTCTCATTTTTACCTATAATATTATGAGTTGAACCGCTTCTTTATAAATAGTTGAGGCGTTTGCCATTGAAATTATCCTTAAACTCTGAGGATGTTGTTCAGAGAGAGCATTGTCAATTTAATATTGGCATGTGTGAGTCCAAATTGATAGAGGACTAATTAAAACATGTGGTAATAATTATTTAATACGAATGGAATATTGTTCAAGTTGAAAACTCAAGGGGCAAATGGCACAATCCTCTGAACACAAAGCCAAATCTTTCTTTTGATTGAGTCCTCGTATTTCAGAGTATGATACAACGGCACCAAAGAGTACATCTTTCTTTTTAACTTACAAAACAAAAATAGAGAGCAAAGAGTATGAAGTAAAACAACAATTTTTTTTTCTTTCTTTCTTTTTGGAAGGAAGTGAAACAACAGATTTGAGCTTTATATTTTAGTATTATAAACACTTGAAACAATGAAGAAGGATACAAAAGTAGAGGTGAGAACCTTGGTTCACCCACAACTAACAAAATGGCACTAAAAAAAGGGCTCATTTCTCATAGTAAGATCCAATGTGATAATTTTCCTCAATAAGAAGCAACCAAAGGCAAACTCCTCTCACCACCCAACTTTTGGTCCCCTAATTGTGACAACTTAGCAAAAACTCCCACTAACGGCGCCGTATTGTAAGTGCATGCCTCAGTTTGCATGTAATTGTATCTCTCGTCACTAAAATTGTCTTGACAATCTGGGCCTCCCACCAATGCCCCCACCAACACATTTGGGTTGGGCTCGTCCCTGCCGTACCAATTGTCGTACCCTTGGGTGCACCCAATGAACCCTTTGTTCTCCCTATACGACCCAATTGAGGCTCCTCTATGGTGAACCCTTTTGGGGTAGTTGGGCCCATAGCCCACCAAGTAGCTCTTGTTTTGTGGGTTCGAGCCCAAAATATAGTCCACTTGTGATTTGGCAAAAGTGAACACTTCTTCATGGCTTATTGCTTCTCCTTGGCACGTGAGCTTTTGGTTTGAGGCTTTGAGGTAATCTGAGTAGACTATGAGAAGAAACGAAGCTGTGGAAACGTATTGCATGTTGTTCCATTGCCTTACGTACAATAGGCCTGAGGGTGTTCGTTCGACGTTCGTGCCGTTGATGTTCTTGTTGAGGCATGAACACATGTAGTGCTCGGCTTTCGACCGGTATTTTTCGAGTGTTTTCCGAGCGTGGTCTTGGTGCTTTCCTTCCGTTAGCAACTTGATAAACAGAAATTTGATTTGATAACAAGTACAAAGATGGGAAAAAGTAGACAGTACAAGCAACATCTTTTGCTACGTCGCGTTACATGTGTTCCAAAGCTTGCATTGTCAAATTAAGAACTATTTCTTCTAGCAAAAAAGTTTGAGAGCTATTTCTTCCTTAAAAAAGAATTAAGAATTATTTCTATCCAAAATTCTCGACATAAAAGTCTCGTTTTAATCCCTAAACTTATTCAAGTAGTGCTAAAAGTAACATATAAAAAGAACCAAAGTTTGAATTGTTGGATCTTACAAGAAATGATAAATTTTAACATAAGTTTTTTGTTTAAAAGAAACAGGCTTAATTAGAACAAGGCTCTTGTCATAATCTATAACCAACACGACGACTATGGCCTAGTACTTAAAAGTAGAAGGATACTCTAAAAGCTATAAAATTCAGTTTCTCAAAATAACTTAAAATTTACAACAATTATTGTGAAAATTGTATATTTCATACCTTTACTAGACACTAAGATAGTAAAATCAAGATCTATTATCTCATTTTCTTGTCTCAATGGATGTCCCTTCAATTAAATTTTGACATATCGTGATTTGTTTAAATATCTTTAATATTTTATTTCTATTTATGTGGCAAAATTTCTAAATATAAATTACATGACAAATAATTAATAAAAGGACAATCAACGAGATAGAAAAATTAAGACAACAGATCTAAACTCACCATCGTCTCGCTTTTCATACAAAGCGAACTCAATCCCAACCGGCCTATATCATTTTTAGAGTTTATTAAGTAGTGTTTGAATAACACACTTAAATAAAGGGATTGTGTCCACTCACTAGGTTTAGGCAGTGTGGGTCAGCCAAATGTGACACAAGGCTCCACCTCCACTCTTAAGTTTCAGAGAACCAAGCAGTCGGATCATTCTTGTGTTATCTTTAAGAGCATCTTGCCACGTTCCATGCCAATTTTTACAGTGCAATTAGTTAAGTTGGGCATATATTTCTCACTTGTACCACTTAAAAGAAGCATTGCAATTCATGGAAATGGCAGCTGATAGCTTACTCTAGGCCATCCTCTTTATTATTATTATTATTATTATTATTATTATTATTATTATTTTCACTCTCTATGAATCCTAGTAATGTGCCCTTAATTGAGGCGTACACCCTTTATAAAGCAAAAGAGCGTGGTTTTCTTAAAGTTGTACAATTATTCCCTCTTTGAACTTAGGGAAGAAAAGCAAAATCCCAAAAAGATTTTCATCGAGCAAAACTAAAGACACGTATCCGGGATTGGGAGAGACCCGACCAACGTAACCCTATAGTTTCTCCTTGAAAAAAGGGCAATTTAAATTTGTCTAAACTATAGACTTTTTGACTTAGGAAGTTGCAAACGAAAGAGACATGTAAAAATGGACACAAATTTTCTATTCAATTCCGTTTCTTCTAAATAATATTTAACCAATCATGATATCGAACACTAAATGCTTGTTTAGAAAGTATATTTAAATTTATGATTCTTAATTCTGACGTTTGAAATTTAAATTTTATGTTTGAAATTTAAATTTTATGTGAGAATTTTACATTGTAATAGAATTAATCATTTGAGTTTGAATATATAAAACAAACATCTCCTAAAACATCTAAAAGTTAGTTAAAAAGCAGAATTAATGTTTTAAATGATTTAACATAGGATTAATTGAGACATCAAGAATTAAATAGATGATTTGAATTATGTATTAAAAACGAAAAGCAATGTAAAAAAAATTTACCTGAGAGGCAATGAGTTGAAGACCAGCATATTTAACGTCCCAACTGAACTCGGTTATGGCCCAACCAGTTCCACCAAAGTCATGAGCCATGTTTATAACGTATTTCAAATAATTTTCATTGTCGGTGGCCTTGTACAGCCACAAAGCTGCCCACAACAACTCATCCATGTAACCGCTCACCGACGCATAGTAGCTCTTCACCACTCCCACACTCCCATCATACTTTCCTCTGTACTTGTCTCCAAATTCAAACAACTACATTTAACATTTTAAAAAAAGAAAAAAAAAACAACCTTAATTAATGCAAAGTTAAGGTACTAACTACTAAGAGACAACTTTGGTTTACTATAAAGTTTGGTATTTTCCTACTTAATTTGCAGGAACTAACACACTGAAAATCCCAACAACCCCCATTTGATCCGTATAATTAAGTTGACCGTCCAAGTAAAATAGTACTAAATTGGAACCTGTTGGGCGTGTTGTAGGAGCAAGTGAGAGTAATGCGGGTTCGTTGACTTGAACACTATGGAAGCAGCAGCCATGGCGGCGGCCGTCTCTCCGGCGAGATCCGACCCGGGGTTGCTCTCGTCGATCTTGTAGGCTTGCCGCGAAGTCGTCATGTCTTCGGGGCGTTGCCAACAGTAGTGGTCGGTGTCTCCGTCGCCCACCTAATAACGATGGAATGGATTCACCAAAATCTAGCTAAATCACCGCGATTTTAATTTTATTTTTTTAAAATGTACCATATGAAGTAAGTGAATTTTAATTAAATTTTACCTCTGCCCACAACACATTTGGGCTAGTATGCGCTTTGATGAAGTAATCGGTACCCCACTTGATCGCCTCCAAGGCGTGGCGCAACTCGCCGGCGTCGGCGATTTGCTGCCGGTATTCCATGACGCCCCAAGACAGCATCGTCACGGTGAAGGCCATTGGCAGACCAAACTTTACGTGGTCACCTGCATCGTAGTATCCTCCTACCAAATCTACCTACACAAAATTAATTTAGTGCCCACATTAGTACGATAGAGAATAATGTAACTACTTTTTGTACAACAATTACTTAGTACATGGTATTTGAAAAAAAAAAATGAACAGTTTTTGGACAAAACGGTAGAGCTAAGATTTGACGTACTCCTTGCTCTAGGCCATCGGTGAGGCCAGAATGGTCACGCCAAACGACCCTTTGGTTGTACGGCAAGCGACCCGAGCGCTGCGATTCGAAGTAGAGAAGGCTCTTTCCGAGTGCGTCGGCGTAGTCGAAAGCTTGATCTGCTTTGGCTAAAATGGTGGAGATTTGAAGAAGAAAAAGGATAAGAAAAAGACTCCAATTGTGAGTTGAATTTTGGAGCTTGCTGTTTTCCATTTTGATCCCTACCCCTCCTAAAGGAAAACTAGGCAGTTTTTCTTGTAGGAGTGAAGGGAAGGAAAAATAGCAAATGAAGGGAAAGTTGAACTCTTTCAAGTTTGAAAAACAAACTTTCTTGTCTATTTGTATTGACGGTATGATGGGGACAATCTTGTGCATGTGAGATTCACATGACAATGTGGGGGAGGGAATTGAAAAGGAAAAAAAGCAAGAAATAAAGAAGGAGAAAATTTCCCACTTTTTTTTTTTTTTTTTTTTTTTTTTTTACTACTACTGAGGTTGCGTGATTCTTGCAATGTCTAATGTTTCTGTTGGTGCTAAATATGGAAAACGGTGTGGACTGTGGTGTCACTTTTTATGACTTATTACTGAGATTTGGCATCGACAAATGGATCGACCATTTCCTTTATTTCTTATAGTGGTGCACTCATTTCTACAAACACATTTTAGAATTAAAGGATAGGCGGCCGATTCATTTGAATTTTCTCTTTTAATTATATATATTACTGAACTTTATAGTTTTCTCTCTTTAAAAATTTAAAATTATAATTTATTTTCCTTCAAAAAATGAAATTATATGTTTACTTTGCCTTGTGGCTGTGACTTCTTTAAGATCATTATCTAATAATTTTACATTTTGCATATTTTAGAATTTAGAAATGCCCAGATGACCATACAAGAGGCAGAGCCTCTCCTTTTTAAGGATAGACAGTCGTTTTATCCGAATTTTTTCTTTTAATTTTATAAATTAGTAATATTAAAATTTATGGTTTTCTCTCCTTAAAAATCTAAAATTATTTCATATTTTCTCTCAAAATATGAAATTATACGTTCGCTTTGCCTTGTGGCCATGACTTCTCCAAGATCATTATTTAATAATTTTACATTTTGCATTAGTGAATTTCTTTTCTAGGCTTGTTGTATATGCTTAGAAGTTAACTAATTCAAAAATCTTAGATGGGTGAGGTCAGCATAGTTGCTTGTAAAGTTTTTCATTATAATTATAAGTTGAGAGTTCGAGTCACCTTAAAATTTAAAAATAATGGCATTCTTCTCTTATCAAAAAAATAAATAATAAATAAATAATAAATAAAAATTCAAGGGTCTTGGAGGATGGGTATGAATTATTAGTTGTCTCCATAAATGCTTTAGGTAGGACTTCTGTACTTTGTCTTGTAAATAATTCTTGCACACCATTTATTGATGCATGGATTCATTATTTAATTAGATTTAGGACTAATCGATCATTATGGTGTTATTTTAATTTATTTGTTTGCCTCGTTTTAAGAATTAGATAACATAGAAAAATGTTTGACTAACAAGTGAAACTACACGTAAGGTGTACTTTGACCCCAGTCCATACTCACTCGTTGCTTCTGCACAGGACAAAACGGAGAAATCAATAAATTCAACGTAAGAAAGATACATAAATATTTTGAGAGATTTTTTTGGTACGCTCAACACAGTAGGTTAGATTTTTTTAATTGTTAATTTATGTAAATTTTAACTTTTACGTTATTTTATATAAATTTAACAGATAAAAAATTTAATTTAATGATATATTATCGTATCAGAAAAGGTCTCAAATATTTTATAATAATTTTATTTTGTATGATTAGGAATTTAATTTGGTACTCTTGGTGATATTAGATGCGTATCTTATAAATTCCAATGCCAGATTTATATTATATGTTTGTATCCTTGTACTAATATAATTTTTGGACTTGGTATTAATAAAACGTGTTATGAATCCCAAGGGACCCACAAAATGAAATAAAACCCATACATTGACGATTACCGTTAGTGATTGCAACATATACTCCAAGATTGGTGGTTGTCGTCATGTACATCATATCTATCATATCATGTCTTAATCATAGAATTAGTACAAATCAACATAATTATAGCAAAGTGATTAAAGAGATTTCAAAAGTTGTTTGCTTGAGCCTTGATGCACACCTAAAAAGAAGAAAAGGCCGTCCCACAAAACCTGGTAGTGAATGATAATTTTTTTAAACACTAATTTCAAATAATATTAATGTTGTTATTCTCTTAAAAGGGTGCCGCACGGTGGACTTACTTTGACTTAATATATATATATATATATCTGTGTGTGTGTGTGTGTGTGTGTTTGTGAAGATGAGGATGTGCGACAACCGCTTTAAAGGCCTTTACCAACTTTTGTTTTCCAAAAATAAAAAGGCACACCTAATGAACTCGTTGCCAATAAAATTTAAGATAGTAACTAACAAATAATGTTCGAAGAGAAATGCTATTATTATCTTTTTCTGTTAATTTTTTTTTTTACGTTTTTGATTCATTATTTAACACGTAAACTATATTATCATGATAAATAATAAATGTAAAAAGTGATAAAAAGAGATGATATTATAATTTCTCATATTCAAAAACATATGCATCGAGTTTTTGTTTTAACGATAAGAAGCTTAACATTAATTTTGAGGAAAATATTACATTGGATATAAGAAGCAAAACATTGAATGATAAAAGTTTCGACGTGGGCAGTTGAAATTTTTATTGTTTTTACCATGTATGGTCTTTTTTTTTCCCCCTAATTACCATTCCATTTCTATACTTGAATAGAGTTTCTATAAACAATATAATTTAAACGTAGATATCATGAAACTTTCGAAGACGTTGACCCATTTGTTTGATGCAGGTAAGACAAGAACAATGTGCATGCGTGGAGCTAACGATCATCTCCATCAAGCTTTTTTATTTACTTTTTTTTTTTTTATTGGGTGAATGTAACAAGAAAAGTAATAATTAAAAATTGCTCATAGATGGCTTCTTTTTTTAAGTCAAAAAATACAATTAGGAGTGTAGATTTGGAATTGATTATACACAAAAACTAAACGAAACAGAAGTTGCATACCTATTGAATTCTTCTTGTGCATAAATTAGACGCAATCCAAGTATAATATTTGTATTCCTTTATAAATTAGAATGAATGATCTAATAGTTAATAAAATCTTTAGAAATAGTTATAATAACTTACATGACTTATTTGTGCGAATATATATTTAATAATTTAACGCGTTGTTTTTATTAATTAAAGATTTTGAGTATTAATATTTGGATTCGCTTAATTATGCTTCACATATACGGTGTCGGTGCAAGGTTGGCATGTGTGTAGCTTTGAAAATAAAAAAGATTGGCATGTGTATGTATTTATAATATATTGGAATAGAAGATACATAATTAGTACGGCCACCCCCACAAGGAAGTTCCTGTATTTGCGGTGTTGTGTTGGGTCCCTCTAAAGCTAAACCGTCGACCGGAAGCACCGACGCCCGGTGGACCCGCCCTTTGCTCCCTCACCGACAACTCGGAAAATACTTTTTTACACCATTTTACTGCTCCTAATTTCACAAACTTCTCTCTCTCTCTCTCTACATATATATAGTTTTTTTTTTAATTACTTTTCAAAGTAAAGTACTGCGATTGAGAGTTTCCCTCCAAAAACTAATATCCAACCATGGAAACTTTTATGCGGTTAGTCCAAATAATTACCCAACAACTAACCAGTTGGTACAAAAAAGATCAAATTATGAGTTTGACTTGTAACAATGAGTAGTGTTTTTCCGAAAGCTTCTACTGGTTTCCAATTTCCATCCCCATTAATAAGTTGGTACAATTTTCAGCTTTAAAAAAAAAAAAAAAAAAAAAAAAATGTTAGCCACATCGCTGCTGATACTTTTTATTTTAGATTATGATAAACTGTTCTACAGATAAAATCAGTTTTTTAACCGTCAGATCTTATTAAAATTAAATAAAATTATAAAAAAAATACAGAATAAATAATTTTTAATACAAATCTGACGGTTAAAAAGGTTAAAAAAAATAAAATTATCCATAGTTTTATTTTTTGAGAAACTCCCTACTTTTTATTACTTTCCACTAGAAGGAAGTTTTTGTAATTTTGTCTACGGAAATGTTCAATCGATTCTGAAACGAAGAAGTTTACTTCTTTCCCCTAAAAAAAAAATAATAATAATAAGTTATTTATTGTTTCGTTTTATGCAAATAATGGATGTTACTATGGAGTGGGTCACTTGGCCTTTTGTTTTGCTTCGATAAAGCCAGGTTATAGTTAGACTCGGCAAGGGAAAAAAAAAAAAAAAAAGAGTTGCTTTTCGGTCAGAATTATGACATTCTCTTTCTCACATTCAATATATGAAAATGAAAATATGAGTATTGTCATAATAGACACTCCAAGTTTATAATATAAACTTAAAAGAAAGAATATTAATTTCTGTGTAAATGTCCCAACATAAAAAATACAGAAATTAAAAACATCTATAAATAAATTTCATATGATAAAACTTTATCTATTAGATTAAAATCTCAATATTAAAAGAAAGTTTTGTACTACGTTTCGATCGAAAAAAAAGAAAGTTTTGTGAGACTTAAACGTGATTAGAATCCATCTCAAACATTTACATGATACTTTGGTCTTGGTGTATGGTCGTTTCAAAACTCAAAAAATGAATTACACAATTGTGAGTATGTTTTATGTATAAAACCAAGTCCAATTGTTTATTTTCTTATAAAAAAAAAGTCCTATTATTTGTTTATGCCATTTTATTTTCATTTTTTTTTTCTAAAGGCCATTTTATTTTCATTTGAATTGGTCAAATAGTGATCAGCAGAAAAAAAAATAGTAGTTTTGAATAAATAGTCTACTCGTTGGTAGTTTAGAACTTTAAATTTGGTTAGTAGCTGTAATTTAATTGCTTATTATTTAAAGTTGATGAATAACTTTTCCTTAAAATAAATTAATATAGTTCATGAATTAAAAAAAAAAAGAAAAGAGTTAAAAGGGGATGGCAAGAAGGTGAAGCATGAGGCGAGGGGAAAAAGCGCATGTTAGAAAGAAAAGAAAAGGAGGAATAAGGTGTGTTGGATTGTAATAAAAAGAAAACACATTAACACTTCTCAATCTTATACCAAGAGTTAAAAAGAATACTGAAACAACAATATCTTTTTAACCGTGAGATTTTAACCTAACGAGCTTTTGATGTGTAAATATACATGTTCCATCAAAGGCTCCCAAAAAATAATATTAGAAAGTATGTTTAGGTGACATGTTCAAACCACTTCATTTTAAGTTTTAACAGTGTTTTTTTTATAAAAAATTTAAGAGAGTATTTATTTCATAATTTAAATTGTGTTTGTAAGAAATAAAATACTATAATAAAATTTAAATTTTAATAAGAAAAAAATACTATAATAATAAAATTTAAATTATATAAAAAATAAGATTTAAATTTAAAAAATTTTATTATAATATTTTTTCTAACGAATTGTTTTAAATCACCTGATTTAAACTCACGAGATCCTAAGAATGAGGCGGTAATTCAAAAGTTGAAATGAAGAATTATACATCACCGCATGTCTCCATCAACGTCCATTCAATAGGGACTTGTCGTGGGACATTTACTAACCTGTCCAAAATTGGGAGGACACGTGGTAACCACAGACGCATCCTTCAGCTGAAAATATACTTCTCATAAGTCATATCTTCGTGGGACCCTCACAACCCATATATCCATCCACTTGTTCACCACCACGTGTCACACAATCTTCCTCTACACCGCTGTCCTGACCATTATGTCCTCGCCAAACGAAATATTTGTTCCATAGTATCTCTCTCTCCGGACCTATCTGATCTGATGTGGGTGGCTACCGTTTTACTTCACACACCGGTCGGACCGGTCCGAACCGGCTTGACATCCCACTCGAACCGTAAAAAACTCTTTTATCTTCCCAAACCGGACGCGTTTCTTCCCGGTTCTCGTCCCCGGTCCAGCAGCTTCCGAGTCTCCGCCGCGAAGAAGCAGCTCTCCGAGTTGCGGACTCGGAAACCAGGTCCTCCACCCAACGATTCCGAGTTCAATAGAATCTGTCCATGGCGATAATTTTATTTTTGATTATGAAATTTAGGGTTTTGAAAATTGCAGAAACCGAGAATTTCTCGATAGAGAAAGACGACGGCGAAGGCTCCGATGTCGGGTGGCTACCTGCTTTTCCTCACGTGTTGGTGGCTTCCATGTCGAATTTTCTCTTCGGTTATCACATTGGGTGAGTAATGAAGATCCATCGTCCGAATTTTCTCTTCGAATTGGTATATATTTACTGAGTTTTTGTTTGTTTGTTTTAGAGTGATGAACGGTCCGATTGTTTCTGTGGCGAGAGAACTTGGTTTTGAAGGGAATTCGATTCTGGAGGGACTTGTGGTGAGTATTTTCATAGTTGGTGCTTTTCTCGGAAGCGTATGCTCTGGTTCAGTGGTCGATAAACTCGGTTGCCGGAGAACCTTTCAAATCGACACTATCCCTTTGATTCTTGGCGCTTTAATAAGGTAAAATTATTAGAGTTTTCGATGGTTTCACTATTTTGTTTCGGAGCTTTTTTGTTGTTGACCCATTTTTATGTAGTAGTGCACAAGCTCACTCCTTGGATGAAATACTTTGGGGAAGATTTCTAGTTGGACTTGGCATTGGTGTAAACACGGTTCTTGTTCCAATTTATATCTCAGAGGTACTTGTTAAGCACTAGGCGTTTAATTCTTTACTACCGAGAGCAATAAATCTGAGAAAGAAAAGCAAAAAAACAAGAACACACACAAAATTTATAGCGGTTCACGCTACGTGACAATAATTTACTTCGAAGAAGAAGCTTACTAGAGAAATCGCATGTCAGTAATAATTCGGTTGCACAATTTAATAGTTTCAAAGAATTATGCTAAGTGCAAGTGTCATTTTATACTGCATACATAAAAGCTGAAATTTTAACTCTATGATGTTTACAATGGCAACGACATAAATTCTGATCAGTATAAAGAAATGGGTAGCCAAAGTGTCGTTTTATACTGCATACATAAAAGCTGAAACTTTTAACTCTATTATGTTTATAATGGCAACGATATAAATTCTGGTCAGTATTGGAAAGAAATGGGTAGCCAAATGGTTAGAAGTATTTTTTGGAATTGGGCAAAATACTTGAAAATTGACTACCAAGGATTTCAGCTCTATGCTTGTAGGACGATACTTACATTGTGGTCACCATACTAGTTTCCATAGATTTTCTTGTCTTCAATAAGTGTCACGTAGTTTTTAGGATCAGTCTAAGTTTTACTTCTGTCCTTGGTAAAGTGGGACGCTTTTGATTGTTGGTTTTCTTCATACGCGAAGTAGAGGTATTTGATCCTCTGACAATTCATCCATTTCATATTGCTATTTGTTGCAGATTGCACCAACAAAATATAGGGGTTCACTTGGCTCCTTATGTCAAATTGGAACATGCCTTGGTATTATTGCATCACTATTTCTTGGCTTTCCCTCTGAAAGTGATCCGCACTGGTGAGGTTCTTTTCTTTATCTCTTGCTGCTATTTGGGCGGAACAACAATTGCCAATGATTATTTCCCACCAACACCCTCACACCCACCAACCACCACACCACACCCCAGCCCAATTAGCCATCTGATTATGTCAGTGCTACCGTGAGAGTGATGATTTGTGTTAAATAGATTTCAGAAGTTTTTCAAGTCGAGGAATGAGGAAATTCCCAAGATTTGTACGGTTCTTTAGTTACACTGTATGGTTATATCGTAGTACGTGTCTGCTTGAGACTTCTCCAATGGATGAAACCATTAAATGCTATTCCCTTATTGAGTGGTGGATTTTTTTTTTCTTTCATTCTTTCAAGTCTTAACACATGTTCGAAAGCTTTTGGTAAAATTTTATGACACTTATTTCTTAGGTGGAGGACGATGCTTTACATTGCAAGTATACCTGGATTTTTTCTTATACTTGGTATGCGGTTTGCTGTTGACAGTCCCCGCTGGCTCTGTAAAGTAGGTTTCTCTTCATTTTCCAATGCAAAACTCTGAAAAATCTCATCCCTTGGTATCTTATTCATAGGGATAGCATATTTTGTCTGTTCAGGTTGGGAGGACCGATGATGCTAAAGAAATCGTCAGAAACCTTTGGGGGGCATCTGAAGTTGAAAGAGCAATTGATGAATTTCAAGCAGTCATAAAAAATGATGGTAGTGATGTGGATAGCAGTTGGTTGGAACTCTTAGAGGAGCCACACTCTAGAGGTTGTATCAAGGTGGTTTTCAGATTTCAGGTTTTAATGGCACTTCCATGGTTCAGCTTATATTTTCTGGAAGATATAATTTGTTTTCCCATATAAACTGTGATTTTTTTACAAGGAAAGTTGAAACATCCGCTTGATCTTAATTTATGTTGTCGTGTTGTGAGACATATAAGCAACTTGATATAGTTGGCAACGGCTTGAAGTTATTATCTTAAATAGAATATTGGGTTTTGCATGAAAAATCTCACCTTTGGTCACTTATGTGTATTGGTGCAGTTGCGTTCATTGGAGGTTCCCTCTTTGTTCTTCAACAATTTGCCGGTATAAATGGAGTTCTTTACTTTTCATCACTGACCTTTCAAGATGTTGGAATTACAAGTAGTGCTCTAGCAAGTTTACTGGTTGGGGTTACCAATTTTGCAGGTTTGCTATTTTAGATTTTGTGTGTACTGGTAGGTACAACAAAATTCTTGAATAAACCCTTTACTCTTTTCATTTTTGTGCTCATTATTAGGGGCAATCTTTGCTTCTTACTTAATTGACAAGGAAGGGAGACAAAAGCTCTTGATTGGAAGTTACTCAGGAATGGTGAGTTGCACAGATAAAGCCTGGGTACACAGATCTCTACAAAGTACAGTTAGAGAGAGAGTTTATGTTTCTTGTGTTGAACCCGCAAAGCTTCTTTAAAGTCTGTGTCTTTTTTACCTCGATTTGCTGTTGATTAAAATGAAAGAGAGAAGCTACCTTGAACTTTAGCGCAGAGAGAGAGAGAGAGAAGCTATCTTGACTTTACGCTGTGGAGTTCTGTATCTCATATTTTTGTCTCAATAATCTAATCCTGGAGTTGGAATTCCCTTTTCTGGGCAGGCTGTTGCTATGTTCCTTGCAGTTGGTGCTATCAGTTTTCCACTTGACGAAGAACTAAGCCACAATTTATCCATACTGGGAACTCTCTTGTAAGTTGTAAACCTTAGTATACTTTCCAGCATATGCTTTTTTCGGCTCCAAGTAAAATGAAAACTTCAGATACATTGTTTAACATGTGAAGTACTCTACCTTTTATTAATACTTCTTCACGTCGTTTTGTGTATTTGTAGGTATATATTCACCTTTGCGATCGGAGCTGGCCCAGTTACTGGTCTTATCATACCCGAACTTAGCAGCAACAGAACACGCGGGAAGATTATGGGATTCAGTTTTATGACTCATTGGGTGAGGAAGACTATACGACCTAAACCGAATTACATTGCTTAAAGTAACTTTTAATCTTTGTAATTCTCAGTTGTCCTACAATATGGCTTCACTAATTTGCCAATTGTACTTCTCTTCCACTTCTTTAGATGCCTGCCCATTATGCTTTTCTTTTTTCCTTGGTGAGAGTGTTCTTGGTGTACTTATGAATGTTGATTTTGATTCAGGTTTGCAATTTTGTGGTGGGTCTTTTTTTCCTGGACTTGGTGGAGAAATTTGGAGTTGCTCCAGTTTATGCCACTTTTGGTGGTGTCTCCTTGTTGGCTGCAATATTTGCGTATTATTTCACAGTGGAAACCAAAGGACGCTCGCTAGAGGAAATTGAAATGTCATTAAACCCCAACTTCGGTGCTGGAGATAAGTAATTAACAGATGTAGTCAAGCGACGGACTCTGAAGGTTGCAATTACCTCACTGTCCTTTTGTATATGTGCCATAACTTTTATTCAGGTATAATAAAAGTGTAATTCTATTGCTGGAGTTGGTCTCTACGACTACAAGGCTGGTTTTTCCTGTTAAGATAAGTAGGGATACACTTAGGGGGCATTTGGTACGCAGTAATCAATAGGAATCATATTCCTAAGAAAGTGATGGAGAGTAATATGATTCTCAGGAATAATACATTACGTGTTTGGTTCTATATATATGAATCTTGTCTCAAATTTCCATGAATAATATATTACTGTGTTTGGTTGTGCATAGAAATATTGTGTATTAAAAAAACATTTAAGGGGTTAAAATATAATTTTTAAAAAATTAAATGTCAAATATAATTTTAAAAAGTTAATGTTTGCTAAATGAAGCATTTTTTGGTTAAATACATTTACCAAATAAAAATAATATAAGGATAAAATTGTAACACGTTGTATTGAAAATTTAAACTATGTTATTTATTTTTACTACAAATGGTTTAATAAAATGGGCTATTACGATTTCTCAAAAAAAAAAACCTATATTGACCTTATAGAAAAATGACCCGACCCGATAGTTAATTAGCATGGCTTACCATTATGTGCATGATTATTGATTCAAGAATACCACTTTCTTCAATTTCCTCTGAAATCCATTACTTCTGAATAGGCGGAAGACAGTTTTACCATTTTATTCAATCATTTGTGAATCTAGACCATACCTTCCATCTTCTTGAAGGTGATGTGAGCAAGATCGGTGAGAGATCCCCGATGTCACTTTGTTGGCTGACGGCCATATCAGCCGAATGAGCTTCTGTGGAGATCTTCGTCGGATCCTATGAAGAGAACAGAGTCACTCAAATGTCGGTGAAATCTCCACCGCTACCAGCAAACGACCACATCTTGCAACGGTGTTCTCCGAATGGCAAGCTGTGACGACAACTTCTCCAACGGAATTACAAACTGACGATCATCTCGAACGATGTAGTGCATTAAATTGTTCCTCATCGTCGCGATAAGCGTATGGGCTGAGAAGAAATTAGTGAGAGAGATTTTGATTCCCGTGTTATTACTTTCCTGATAAAGTGAATAACACTTTATTGGGTGGGTTTAAGATTACCCCAAAATGTGGTCATGTGAATCCCATAGGCTTCACTTATCAGGATGTTATTTGAAAAAAGAGAAAAAAAAAAGTGTAATAGAGCAAAGAATATAAAAATGAAAAAAAAAGGAAGACAAAAAAATAAGAATGAGAGAAAAAGGAAGGAAAATAAAAAATAAAAATAAAAAAAGAGAAAAAAGCGCCACTTACAAGACGTTTTGTCAAGAGGGTTTGAAAAAATTTTAGGCAGTGTTGTGAAAATTTGGATAATCATATAATCGTTTTTATGAACAACTTTTATTGAGAGTAGTTTTGTTAGAACATTTTGCATAACAACGTGCCTGCTAACAACTTGCCAACTTACTTTAGCAAAATTAAGGAAGCTCTGTATGGCCTCCTATTTCAATTATAAATTGGCATTAGTTGCTTATTGTTGTAACATATCATAAGAAACGTGAAGAGAAGCCTGTATACGAGAGAAAATATCGAGAGAAGTAGTGCGAGGTAGTGAGAAAGAGTAAGCTAAAGTCAATAGAAGAAAATTTTCTCTATATTAATTTTCTTTCTTTGCTATTCATTTACCTTACTTATATAATAATATATACATACAACCCAATTCACAACAGGCAGGAATATTTACCAGAAAATATTATTTTAACGAAAAAAAGGAAAGACAAAAAAAAAAAAAAGGACAAACTAAAAAGAAAAAAAAAAAAAAAAGGACAAACTAAAAAGAAAACAAAAAAAAAATAGAAAAAGTAAAAAATATGAGTGGGGGAAAACGTTTTGCCAGTTTCTTTATCCCCCCCCCAAAAAAAAACAGATTTATCTTTAGATAGTAGGTAAAGATAAAGATAGAGATAAAATAACATTTGATATGTCAATTCAATCGTCAAATTCCCTTTACATATTTTCCAAGAAAAAAAAAATCCTTATGTCTACTTCTTATGTTCTGTAAAATGGCAGGTCAAATGTCAACCTATACTGGCGTGCTCAGTTCCATTAAGCAATCATCGATTGAAATTCAGGGAATTATTTTCTTTGCAATTGTTGCCCACACCACATCAAAGTGTACTAAAGTTTGTCATTTGTATAGCCACGTTTTTTCTTAGCTGTTTTTGCAATATTTACATTTTGTTTTTTTTTTCCCTTTTTAGATACTATTTATTAGCATCAATAACGTAATAATCATATACATACGACAATTGATTAAAATAATCACATTATAATGATTTTTGTTTTATGATTATCAGTACCATCAGTCAATGCAATGCTTAACTTTTTACCTTAAACAAAAATCAAAACAGTTAAATTTATGAGGGTGAAATCATAAAATAAGAAGGATAATAATAGTTTTCACGGCAGTATATTTCACAGTATACGATATTTTTCTTTAATAATTCTATTGTGGACGGGAAAAGTCTATTCCTCTCCATTCCGTTACTGTTTGTAATCGCTATTAAATCATTTACCTCCAAAACTGAATCTTAACAGCCGACGCTCTGACTTTTTCTTGGGTCCACTACTCAACAAGAGAATTACAACCGTACGATTCGTCATCGGTCAAAATCTCATTAAAATCAACGGTCCGGGTTCAGATCCATAATCGTCCAAACATATTCTTCTTACTTACTTGGCAACTGGGTCCCGCAGTCTTCTAGTCGTTGCCACGTGGACGAGCCGCCAAATTACCGTTTACGCGTCACTTTCCAGCAAACTGTGCCAATGTGATTCGTACTTCCTCGTTATACCAATGGCCTCTTTGAGAAAATGAGTTTCGAGCTTCCGTACATAACCTAGGGTTTCTGCAAAATTTTCAGTTGCTCAGGAATGGCGTCGCTGGAGAATGGCGGCGATGACCACGTGGTCGAACTGAGCGTGCGTGAGGTATCGGCGTTGGAAATTGACGCCGGCGGCGAAGTTCCCGAGGAGATAAGCCCTCTGTTATCGCAGGCTGAGAGGCCCAAAATCAACATTTTCACGGTCTCTTATCCTCGGAGAAAGCCTAGGGTGAGAATCATTGCTTGTTGATATTTAATTTTGGCTCTAATTGATTGTTCTTATTGATCACGGTTTTTTTCCCCCTTTCTTTAATTGTGTTTTCCGTCGGAATTTTATTGTGGATAATCTGTTAGAATATTTCAATGGCCTGTTTGGTTGCTGGGAAAATTTAGGAAGGGACATATGAGGTGTTTGCAGTTTGAGACTTGCTTAAATGTATACTTCTTTTGCTGTGGCATGGAACTTTACAAAAAATATTCTCAAGATGTTAATTTTCTTGTTGAAGCCAAGAATCAAAGGGGTTTCGGAAAGAGAAGCAAATAATTGAACTTGGAAGAATGGTTTTGGTTTAGGTTTATTAAACATATTTTGGTTGTTCTATGCAGGAACAAGTAACAAGATTACCAGAAGCGGAGACATCTCCAATTACACAATTTGTTTTGTGGGTATGGAGTGGATCTAGATACTCTGGTCTTCTCTGTATGGCCGTTTCATCTATCATCTACTTTCTCATGGGAGTCATTTCTGATGTTTTCTCTGGTTAGTATTGCGTAAGTTTCGCGGCATAATGCAGATTGGTTGATATTATATGTTCATTGACACCGAAAAATATGAGAAGCTGGAGAATCTATTAGTAAATATGTAAAGGAAAATTGTTCGCGTTAGTTATGTATTTTGTTGCATAAATCCCACACGTTTGGAATTGTTTATGTGGAATGAAGTCATAGAGGATCTACTTGGAAATTGGCAGTTTGATCTCTTGGGATGGTTAGAACATTTTTAATATGGATTTAATAACTACTATAAATTTTGCATTCTAATCTACCAAAAGAATGAAATGGAGTAATATAACTGAAAGGGAAAATGAAAACTTTGAGGGGTTGTTTGGTACATGTATTCAAACCCAAACTATGATTCTGTGTTTTTCCTCGTATGAAAAATTTGAATAAAAAAAAATTCCCGCCAATAGTTTTCTCACAAAATATTTGAATCGAAACCCAAATCATGGTTCAAATACTCTTCCCAAACGGGCCCTCAAAGGTTGGGTTGCTCTAACCTTACTTATTTGGGACTTATATGATATATATTGATATGCTGCATATCTTTGTAAAATATAAGTTTTTGCTTACTTATATGTCCAACAATGTATATCAGAAACAGAAGAACTTGATTGATTATTTATGGTCTTTTTATGCTGTTCTTTGACACTTATCAAGTTCTTTTTGTTTTCTCGTGACAGTTCAGTCAATTCCTTTGTTTGAGACTGCATTTACAAGATGTACAATAATCTTGATTTCTTCATATATATGGCTACGAAGAAGTGGACAGCCGATACTTGGGCTAGCAAATAGTAGATATCTTTTGATTTCAAGAGCCCTTACTGGATACCTTTCATTGATGAGCTTTATTTATTGGTAAGTTCGGTCAACTGCTGGAATTCTTCTTTTTTGCCGTAATACGAAAAACTTTGCTAGCTGGATCATAGTAGCAATGACAAAAGGTTGGATAATTTTCGTTTCAGCATTCAAAGATTACCTTTGTCTCAGGCTGTAGTTCTAAGCTTTACAACTCCAATCATGGCTTCAGTTATAGCAAGAATCATTTTACATGAGAAATTGAAAATTTCAGATATTGGAGGTATGTATTACTTATATTCATCTTTTTTTATTGCTTTTAATGGTAAAAAATAGATCTGAGTGATGAGTTAATATGTCATGAACATAAAGTACGTTGTTAGAATTGATGTAACAAATGAGGGAGTATGTGGTCCCAATCTCTATGCATCTTCCACCTTCATGATGATTTGCTAAATTCATTGAGCCGTCAGTTGCGAGGCTCATGGAATAGGGTCATAACAGTAATATTAATTAGCCTGAGTTGACTTCCAATTCTATATAGTACAACATTTAGTAACTTTTGAGGACTCCCTTCTTTAACTTTGAATGAGACTCCTTTTTTTCCTTTTAAGAAGCTATATCTTGGTGGTCGCTATTTCCCTCAGCCATGATGTTCTGAAGTAACAGAACTTTAATTACCTTTTGGTAGGCAGGGAATGATGTTTGTCCAACTGTCTTTAACCTTTCAGGTCTGGCTTGCAGTTTCTTTGGGGTACTCTTCATTTTCCGTCAAGTGCTTACCATACAAGGTACAGTCCGTATGGAATTGAGTTAACAGAACTTGAACTGCTCTGGGTGGTATCATGCATTTATTTTTCAAAAATAACTTAATATATATATATATAAAAAATAAAATCATCTTTTAAGGAACTGGAATTGGGTGGCAAGTATTTACCATTTACAGATGCATGCAGGAGGATTAGCTAATAAAGGAGAAGGAGCCAATGTATATATCAAGGGAAGTAACCATATTTATGCAATCTTAGTCGGTATATTTTCAGCCATAACAGGTGGAATCAGCTACTGCCTTATAAGAGCGGGAGCTAAGGCATCTGATCAACCAATGTAAGACCACTGTTTGTTTTTTATCAAATATTGCCCTGCTATGGATGAAAATTACAGTGTGTAAGAGGAACAGTGTATGATCTTTTCATGCTAATCCTGTGCGAATGCTGCAAACTTCTACTTGATTTTCAGGGCTACAGTTTTTTCATTTGGCGTACTGTCCAGTCCTGCTGTGGGAATTTGTTCTTTTGCCTTTGAGGTAAACCTGAATATTGCCACTAGAATGCTTTTTATGTTTTGTTCTTTTCCCTTCGAGGCAACCTCATTATAGCTTTTACCAATAGATATACAGGTATGAATTGGTTTAGTAGGAAACTTTTGTTAGACAAAAGTAGCTGGATATAGAAACGTTTAAATGGAGGCTCATTTATGTTATTTACTCGAGTTCTATTGCGTTTGTAGAGCAGCTAGCTATTAACTATTAACTTTCAAAGTTTGGAAAAGTACAAATAAGTTGCTTCTCCAAACTTTGCCATCACCTTTGTTTTATATTAGCTGTGCCAATTGCTCAGATCCATAATCGCTTACTTCAGACTTTAGAAAATCATCGTTTTGTTGGTGTTTATTATTATCATTAATTTGTCCCTTTCTTGTCTGCAACGAGTGAATTGTTTTTCATGTGCATTTTGCAGGATTTTGTTTTCCCAGGTTTTTATTCGGTTACACTTATGCTTGTACTTGGCTCTCTGGCTTTTCTCGCCGAGGTTCCTTTCTGAACGAAGTTCACTCAAATTAAATTGCAATTATTACTGCACTAAAAACCCAAATTTTTTTTTTTTTTTTTTCTGACACTTTGCACTAGCATGTTTTGGCCTCTAACCATTTTTTGTCAATGTCAGGTATTTCTAGCCCGTGCACTTCAGCTTGAGAAAACCAGTAAAGTTGCAAATATTCAATTCATCGAGGTGCTCTTTCTATTCTGTTAATAATCTCTTCTTCTCTTCTCCTCTTCAAATAAGAAGTTTGTAATTTGCTAATTTTAGTGGTTCAAAGAGACGTCGTATGGATGACATGCCCCGTTTAGTATATATCATGTTCTTCCCTGTCCAAAAACCTTGCAAATAATTCTATGGATGGTCATTGGCCAGTAACTAACAATAAAACTAGATCCTGAGTTTCTGCCAATTGGTCTGTTCCTTGTTCAATTCTGCATATGATTAGAAAGGACCTAAGTTCAGTTTGTGCTCGGGGATGACTTTGCTTTTTTAATTTTCTTCTTTCGCTAAATTTTTTGCCCATGCTGTAAATTTTCTCTCTGTAATAACCTTTTCTTTCCTTGAAAGATCCTCTGGCAATAAATTAAATCTTGATAACTTGCAAAACCCCAAACTTAATTTTGGATTTTCTCATCTTGCAGGCTGTCCTATCGCAATTGTGGGGCATTGGTTGGTCAGGCCTAGCTCCATCTTTTGGTCGACTTGTTGGATGTCTGCTCATTGTAATTTCAGTGTGTTGCACTATGTACATTGGACCCGATAAAGAAACTGAGTGAAAGATGCGGATTCTTCTGCTTTCTTAAAAGGCATACGCACCTCTTTTTGGTGCACCCATTTTTTTGTACTCAACTTGGCAATGCCAATCAATATAAGTCCTAAAATTGTATATCTAATCGCTCCTGCATTCTTTACATCAAGGCCAGACAATCATGCAGTAATTTTAACATTGATGTCGTTTCATGGCTATAATAAGATTAAATCACCTTCTCACTGCAGCTTCTTGAAATAAATGCCATAGAATACCAATTTACACTCCTAATTGGAGATAGGAGTCCTATGAAAGTTTTGAATCGTTGCATCGCGTTAGAATCATATAGTAACATAATCATATGGTAGCGTTTTTTTTTTTTTTTTTTTTTTTTTTTTTATCAACGTCATTTGGACTTGAATCTACTCCTGAATCTCTAACACGATTTTAAACTTGATTTGACTTTTAACCATTTTCAGTTACACTCGTGGGAAACTCAATAGATACCATCAATTTTTTTATTTCTATTTTAATTTTTTTAAATAGAGATTAGAAGGGAAACGAAGAATCTTGCAAAACACAGAATGGTTTAAGGACTTATCGGGGGCAAAGGCTGATAGGTCACTATTGATCTATTAATGGATGGAGAGTGACAACTCAGAGTGGAAAAGAAAATAAATTTATAGCCAAAACAATCTGTATTCCTCAGCTGCACAAACTGACTTTATTCCCATTCATGATTAATTTATAATTTTATGCCACAAATACCTTGTCTAACACTATAGTTTTTGGTTTGTCACACAAAATAAGGGTACTTTTTTTTGTCTTTTTGCCCGACACAAAATAAGGGCACTTACTATCCCTAGTTTACAACTCACCAAGTTTAAGCATAAGCGCTTTTTTTTTTTTTGTTTTGGGTTTTTTTTTTTTGTTTTTTTGTTTTTGGTTTTTTTTTTTGTTTTGCCTTGAAATTGAGTATTGCTTGGGGCTAGATATTGGTTGGTAGACTAAATATTTGATAGTGTTTTTCTTTGTACTCTAAAGCTCTAATTTATTAATACATGGCATTTATTCCCAAAGCTTGGAGCAATTGCTGTACAGACTAGAGAGTACATGAAATAGAATTATGGGGGCAAAAAAAAAAAAAAAAAAAGAAGCAAATGGCATTTCACATTTGACATGGGACGGGAGATTAGGAGGATGTGATTTGTGAATACGCCGAAAGTATCGGAGCTTATTACGCAATTGCCCCTAACAACTATTGAGGGATAGTTTGGTAATTAAGTATAAAGACCATCGATCTTATAGAGCAAAAGGCAGATTATTTTAGCTTATTGGTTCGGGCAATGCATTGAAAAGCGCTTTTTTGTAATTGTATCGTATGGTGGTATTTCTATTTGGAAGCTAACCAAAGTTATTCCAAATTCCAAAACATTAAAAAAGTTAGGCTTTATCCTAAATGTTCGCTTATCATATTCTCGATCACTTTTTATTTATTTTTTTTAATAAGTTTCCTCGCATGTTCAGGAGGCACATTTTATGAAGCAAAGTGTCCCTTTTTTTTGTTCTTTCCTCCAAATCTCCGAATTGTTAGATCGTGTCGTTTGGGTTAGAGCCTTCTTCTCTTCTTCAGTTCTTCTTATGTTTTCAAGATTTGAAGGTTTTCTTCTTAGAGAGAGAGAGAGAGAGAGAGAGAGAGAGAGAGATGGCTTGGTAGGTTTCTTGCAAGTTGGTTAACTTTTAAGGCTCCCATAATGAAGATCATCTATAATTATTGTATTGTTAAAAAGTATGCATAATACAATTGAATTGGATGTAAACTTGACATAAACTACCCTAGTTCCATATTTTCAAGCGTCAGACTGCATATTTTTCTAATATAATATAATTTTGAATAAATTTAGCCGTTAGAAATAAATTTTACCGGTAAAGAAACCCTACCCGATTAACTTTTTCTATATATATAATCTAATGTGATTTTAAATAGATTTAACAATTAAAAATAAATTTTAAATATATATTTACATATTCTATAGAAAGATCTCCACAATAGCCAGTGACTATGAAGTATTAATGTTGAACTTTTGTCGGAAGTAAGTTGCATCATGTAAAACTTGAAAAGATAAAAATTCAAATATGGTGAACTTTGTAGGGTGGAATTACAATGTGATCTAGCAACCAAGGAAGTAGCCAAAAAGGTTTTTGTTCGCGAACGTGATGAACGGCAAGGCTTTTAATGCGTTGGGATTTGGTGCTGAGGCCTCCTTTTTTTTTTTTTTTTTTCTTATGTTTTTATAAATTTTGACAAGTTGTGCCTTAAGGCTTTAGTTTTGATAAATTATCCTGTTTAAAAGAAAAGTTATAAATATAGGTATATGATATCTTGTACACCCATTTATTTTGAACCTCATCAATTATATACCAAGGCATTTTAAATGTATAACAAATTCATACACTAACTGGTCAATTCAATTGTGACCATTGAAAGGCCAAAACTCCTTAAAGGGAAAAATGAAAGAAAAAATTAAAAAAAAAAACAAAAAACAAAATCTCCAGTCATGCACTGTTGATTTTTTTTAATAACAATTTATTTTTTTCTTTTGGTTCAAAAAATTGAATTTTTATTTCTGTTATCCCCTGAGAGTAATTTTGTGATTAAATTAGTCAAAATTAAGCATTGAGTATGAATTTGTTACACATTCTAAATGTGCTGGTTTATATTGGATGAGGTTCAAAATATGTAGTATACTTTCTTAATAAACCCAAAATACATACTACATTTATATGAAATTTTCATTTAAAAACGTGTTACAGAATATCCCAAAGTGGTAATAGTTAAAATTTATGATCCGTTTGGTAAATAAGTTTAAATTTGTGTGGTTTAAAATAAGTGCTCTGAACTTTTGGTTCAAAACATTGAAAACGATGGGATGTAAACTCAAAATTCTTAAGGATTTTTTTTTTTTTTTTTTTTCAAAACATCAAATTATTGGTTTGAAACAAGTCTAAAAAAGTTTTATTCGGAACACCTTTTTAGTTCAAAATATTCGACCCTGTTTAACAAACACCCCCTTAGATTAAAGTGTCCTCTTGCACATAGGGTTTCACAAATGGACTCAATGGTGTTTCTATCTAAATTATAATAATCTTAATTTTCAAGCGATAATTTGTCATAATTAAAAATTTATAAGGTAACTGGCGAAAAAATTAAATACGTATATAGTTCTACAAATTTCCTTCTGGTCACTAATTACATGAAGACACTTGTGGTCAATCTATCCGTGTATAAATTATAATGATCTTTAAGGGTCTCACCAATTGAAAATTAGCCAGTCCCTTCAGGCTTCAACTAAATTTTGACCACTTCCTTTTAACGCCTTTTGATTTTAAACCCATTAGAATACGTGAGTTGGAATGGCAATGGCTCTAGTATTACTCATTGATGCAATCCATTTGATTGAACTGTGTGTTTGTTTGTTGTCTGCAACCCACTATAGTACCATTCTTATTCAACAAATTGAAAAAAAAAAAAAAAAAAAAAACTACTATAGTACGATAAATGAATTATAAGAATAGATGGTGATACAAAACCTAGGCAAGTTTTATTGGTGTCACTTGATACTTGACAAAATTTTTCCCACAAAAAAAAAAAAATAATAAATAAAAAAGAACGAAGAGAATCTCGCAAAGGCCCAATTGATCCAGAGTGTTCATTTCAATTTCAATTTTTGAAAAAAGGTTAGAAGGCTCCTGATTCTTAGGCTGGAAATGCATGCAAAAACCAAATCCAAAGTTACCAACTAACCAACCCAAACGGAAAGAGAGAAGAAAGTGCGCCTAAGATTCTTATCTTGTGAGCTTTGAAAATGACTCGGAGTTGTGGGATATTGCGTCGTTAGAAATGGGCCGTGCCTGTTTTTCTTTTTTTTTTTTTTTTTTTAAATTGTATTCCATTTTCCATGGGAATCGAATTTTGTGGGGGAAATGTCACAGTCGTGGAGGGAATGAGGGAATATATATATATATATATATGTGTGTGTGTGTGTGTGTATGTATATGTATTTATATAAGGTGTTTATATATATAGCCGAAAGCTCTCTTTGTGCATGGCCCGTGCAAAGCCACCTTTCAATAATCTTTGAAAAAACTTTAGAAAAAATAAAAAATTTACCCATAAAAATATATTTCTAAATTTTTACTCTTTACCCTTATAAATATTCTTTTATTAATCTAATTATTTAACTAAAAATATTATGAATTAAAAATAAAAAATAAAAACTATAACCATATAATTTTAAAGAATATTTATCAATATTATTCTTGACTTTACACTCTCCTTTGACCTTTTTCTCATTTTGAATCTTGCCTTTTTCACAAATTTTACCATTATGGCCCTCTTCAGAAACAACCTTTCAATCTCATATATAATCCTTCTTTTGCCCGGCACAAACTTGAAATTCCTTTTACCTTTATTCCACACATAAATAATAAACGAAGCAGAAAACAAAAAGAAAATGAGCAACAAAAGGAAACAAAGGCCCCAATTTTGGAATTAGGAAGCAGAAACCATTAATGTTACACCAAACGCACACAACAGCTATTTTCATTAAATGCCCTCAGCAATTGCTTCTGTGAATACACACCTGGGCTGAATTTTGAGTTGTGACCCAACAATGGATCCCCACAACACTCAATAGTCATTGGTCAACACATTTTCTCATTAGTTATTCCTCTGTCTTCACCAACAAGGTCAATTGGTCATGGTCCCTCTTCTTTCTGCAAATAGTGTGTGCTGAGAAAAAGAGTACACAAAGCTCAAACAGCTCATCTGGATTGCTCACTCTCTTCACAAAACTTACCCCAAGTATATCTAATAGAATACGCTTCTCATGTTTTTTTTTTCAAAAAAAAAAAAAAAAGTTACAAATTAATGTTTTAGCCTATAAAATTTGATATGTCTTCACTGGATTAAAACTTCATCGACATCTAAGCCATCGTATAAGATTTACGGTTTATCTATGGTCTTGCCGGTGTGATCATATTGTAATGTAACATACACGATATGGATGAATAACGTCTTATTTATTTCATGTAACACTTGTATTGAATTAATATATCGTAAATGTGACATTGAACAAATATCATGTGCTTACATTATAGTTATGCTAAGGTGAGGAATATTACCAAGTGATTAAATGTGGATAAATTCCATTAATTTTGTCACTGTATAGTAATAGTGCTTCATCATCTAGTCCTATATTTCACTGTGGCAGTACATGAAAAACATAAGCAAATAAGATCATCACCTGCAACTAAAATAAAAGTTGGTACCACTAGCACAGAGGGTATTCTCGGACCCCACTTTCAAGATTTTCCGTACAAATGAAACCAAAATTGCACTATTACTGTGTTGGGGAAATGTGTAGCTCCAATGGCAATTTCGTAATTTAGTCAGTGACTTAGGGGATACTAATGTAATTTCGTCACTGATTCAATAACAGGCTAATCGACGACAGCAGGAGGGAGAGAGAGCGTAGCGTCACAGAGAGGCTTTGCTTTGCATATTGTTCTTTCTTTGCTTTCCTTTCCTTTATTTTTATTTTATTTTTGCAAACAAAAACTCTGGCTTTTTTTTGTTCACTTTATTATATCTCTGTACTTTACTTTGTTCTCAGTTCTTCTTCTTCTTCTTCTTCTTCTTCTTCTTCTGGGTTTTTTGAAGTTCCTCACTCACTATAGAAACATTAATAAAAAGAAATTGTTCACAACAACAATGGCGGACATTAGCCACCCTCCTATGGAACAGCTTCAAGACCTTGAGTACTGCATAGACTCAAACCCTCCTTGGCGTATGTTTCTCTCTCCTCTCTCTCTCTCTCTCTTAAATGGCTTGTGGGTATTCAAAGAATCAAAATAAGTAGTGTTTATTCATTTCAGAAACTTCTCTCTCTCTCTCTCTCTCTGAATATGGTCTGTAACAGAAAGGACGCCATAGAAGGAAGGAAAACGGGGTCATGGTTTTTGAGAAATAGTCTGTTAGCTTAATGGTTTGAAGTTAAATGCACTGTGTCATTCCAAACTTAAACCCCAGTAGAAGAAAACTTTTCTTCTTCTTTTTTTTTTCCCTTTTTCTGAAGAAAGATTTTTGTCTTCAAGTGGGTTGTTCACTAGTGTCCTGGCTTGGAGCAAAATGGGTGATCAGGAAAATGGAAGATTGCGCCTTTAGTTTGAGTTTGGTAGATGATTGCGAAGGCATATACCTTGAACTTGAACTTGAATTTTCATCATGTTGAGACTGATGGGACCATTTTTCTTTTCTTTTTTTTTTTCTTAGAAAACATTCGAGTTTTGCCAAAAAAAAAATAATTGAAAATGTAAATTCTTCTACTGGGTCCCTGTTTCAAAGTTTTAAAGTCTATTATTCTCTCGGGTATAGAACGAAGCTTTGGTTGTTACCAGGAGTCTGTTTTGCCACACTTACAAATCCTGTTCTAAAATAAAACTTCCAACAGTCCATTTTTTTTTGTCGGGCTGTCGTTATTCTTTACTGGTTTTTATTTTTATTTTTATACAACTCATGGCACGGCCTGCTTTGACCATAAATGACTGGTATGATTTGCTTGGGTAAGGATTTTTTATCAAGTGGGGCCTCATCTTGGAAAGATGATCATATCATGCACATGTTAGTAGTAATAATTTTGTAATGTCAGTTTCTTTTTCTTTTTCTTTATCTTTTTTTTTAATACTTAATGTAGAGGAGACTTTTGTTCCATAAAATGCAAGAATTTTTACATCCTTTTAATTGACTCATTGATCAATAATCAAATTCAAATATTTTGTAGTTCATTCAGTGCATTGTTATTGGATTCAGATCCTTGTATGTTTATTATGAGAAGTCCAGTAGATTGAACTTTGACCGAGGAAGGATATGATACAATCTTATAGTATTGAAGAGTGATTGTTTCTCACTAAACTCAAGAGCCATTAGTCGTTAGTTTGATCGATTTTTTTGTTTGTTTTGCAGCCGAAACCATCCTATTAGCATTTCAAAATTACATACTTATGTTGGGCACAAGTGTAATGATCCCTTCGATGCTGGTGCCTGCAATGGGTGGAAGTGATGTAAGCTTGTTTTCCAGTGAAATGCCACTCTTTTTTTTTTTGTTTTTGTTTTTGTTTTTTCTTTAGGTTAGTTCATCTAGAGATGTCAAAACCACCTTTTCAACTAGTTTATTGTTTTTGTACAGGGTGACAAGGCACGGGTTATACAGACTCTCCTCTTTGTAGCTGGGATTAACACACTTCTCCAAGCACTTTTCGGAACCAGGTTGCCTGCAGTTGTTGGAGGTTCTTTTGCCTATGTCATTCCCATAGCTTATATTGTCGGAGACTCTTCGTTGCAACGGATTAGTGATCCTCATGAAGTAAGCCACTTTCCCTACTCGCTTTTTTTCTTTCCATTTTCACTATGATTGATATGATAGAGGCTTAACCAGATGGCATTTCAATCAACAGTATGATAGCGAGTAGTTTGTGGGTTGAAAAATCGTGTATGGTTCCTTGAAACTGCTAGAATTTGTATTTGTTTATTGTATCTTCTTCTAAGGACCGATCAGATTCCGAATTTTGTTTAAAATTTGACAGAGGCTACAGATTCTGTTAGCCTTGGACAGAAGGAATAGAAGCTTCTTACTTGCTAGCATATCATGCAAAACGGTGTTGATTACTTTTAAGTAATGTCATAATGAATTATGTCCATAAGATATCTGAGTTTATTCCCTCTTCAGCAAATGTACTTAAGAAACTCTCTTATTTGGTAGGGTATTGAAAGAGATCTTCCCATGTCATTGGTTTGCAGAGATTTGTACAAACAATGCGAGCAATTCAAGGAGCTCTAATTGTAGCTTCAAGTATACAAATTATCCTGGGTTACAGTCAAGTATGGGGTCTCTTTTCACGGTATGTTATTGTCCTAAAAATAACTTCAAAAGTATGAAACTATCATATCAGTTTAATTGATTCACTTTATAGTTCTCATTTTTTGTTGCTTTTTTCAGTTTTTTCAGTCCTCTTGGAATGGCACCTGTGGTTGGACTGGTTGGATTGGGATTGTTTCAACGGGGATTTCCTGCAGTAAGTCTTTAGCAAACAACATTTTTACAGCTTCCATTACTTTTGAGAAAACGGAATGTTGCTTCCTTCTTTTTTCTTTCTTTTTTTTTTTTTTTTTTTTTTCCCTTTCAACCCAGAACTTTCAAAATCCAGTTAAACCTTAGCCATGTACCTTTAGTTTTTCATTGGCATAATGCATGCTTAAAGGATAAAAAGCATCTAACCTGATATATTTTAGATGGATACAGAATACTATTTTGCCAATTCCTGATCAACCTCTTCAATTAAGATGTAACTTTGTTATGCTCTCTTCTTGTTTCAGTTGGGAAATTGTGTGGAAATTGGAATTCCAATGCTGTTGTTGGTCATTGGAGTGTCACAAGTAAGTGATTTTGTTCTTATTATTGAAGCCGTATCCTTTTGTTTTAGAAATGTCTTCTTTCACACAGCAATGACTTTGCTAAAATGCAGTATCTGAAGCACGTCAGACCATTTAGAGATGTTCCTATTTTCGAGCGATTTCCTGTGTTGATCTGCGTCTCGATTGTGTGGATCTATTCTCTTATCTTGACTGCCAGTGGGGCTTACAGAGACAAGCCCAATAGAACCCAAATCAGCTGTAGGACAGACAGAGCAAATCTCATATCTACTGCCCCATGGTATGTCAAGGAAGAAATTTACACCGTGTTTCCTGCGTTCTTACTGATGGTGAACTGAAATCCTATGCGTTATGCTATTCCAGGTTCAAGTTCCCATATCCTCTGCAGTGGGGGCCACCTACGTTTTCGGCTGGTCATTCATTTGCAATGATGTCAGCAGTTCTTGTCTCAATGGTTGAGGTATATCTAATCTTTGTGCTCTACAATTTGTCCAACATGTAATGAGGTTGATCTCAAACGGGAGTATGATGTTACGCGCATGTGTGTGTATGCGCGCATGTATTTTTCCAATTATGCCTTAGCTGATTTCACCATAAATTTTTGGTGTAGTCGACTGGTGCATACAAGGCGGCATCTAGGCTGGCAATTGCCACTCCTCCCCCTGCTTATGTGTTGAGCCGGGGCATTGGCTGGCAGGTGAGCTATTTTGAAACAAGGAAGTTATCCTGGCAAACTTAATAATTTTTCGTTTCCTTTTCAGGGTCTGTTATGGAATCTTGTAAGTCGGTTTGTATTCTATGTTTCCGCATAGTTTGCGGACCTGAATTTTTGAATACTTGTGCAGGGAATTGGAGTTCTGCTTGATGGTCTTTTCGGAACTGGAACTGGTTCTACTGTATCCGTGTAAGACAGCAAGCTGTGGCTTTGCAAAACCTTCTTTTTATTATTCTCTAGATTGAAACTTATTTAACTGGAGAACTTGTTAATGTAATCTCCAGGGAAAATGTGGGACTTCTTGGACTGACCCGAGTAGGAAGTCGCCGAGTTGTTCAAATTTCAGCTGGCTTCATGATATTCTTCTCTACTTTGGGTGGGCACCAACTTTTTAGACTTTGAGGAAGTCACAAGTTCCTCTTTGCTTCATCGTGTTTTAATGTGGTTTTTGCAGGTAAATTTGGAGCTGTCTTTGCATCCATACCCTTCCCCATATTTGCTGCATTATACTGTGTTCTCTTCGGCCTTGTTGGTAATTCTTGAACCTTGAACAAAGTAACACAGTTGTAATTATAAAAAAAAAAAAAAAAAAAAAAAAAAAAAAAAAAAAAAAAAAAGAAAAAAAAAGTAACACACTCGTATGGTTTTTGTTTCCCCACTTTCACAACAATTCTTTACCATTTCTCTTTCAGCTTCAGTGGGACTATCATTTCTCCAATTCACAAACATGAACTCAATGAGAAATCTCATCATCACTGGGCTTTCCCTGTTCCTTGGCATATCTATCCCCCAATTCTTCAATGAATACTGGACACCCTCACATCATGGCCTCGTCCGCACCAATGCTGGATGGGTAAGTATTATTAACTTATATAGCCAATGATTTCGAGTAATTTGAATATTTTATGGAACGTTTGGTTTATGGGTTTAGAACTATGATTCATGATTCTAATTTTTGAAATTTAAATTTTGTGAGAGAAAAACACTATAGAGAATCAAGAACCATGATTCAGAACCAGTGACGAACCCTTAAAACAAACATAGTATTATTCTTGATGCCCGTTTATCATGAAAAATACTCAAGAACATTAGTGGTGTCCAACACCACAACTAAAATAAGATGCACTGAATTTTGAAAAATACCTATGTTGGACAACACCGATGCCTCCTAGTATTGTCTTATAAATTACGTTTTCTTCGTGTGATTGTACAATAATGTCAGTATCAAATGTGTTATTCGGCAGTTCAACGCATTCTTGAACACCATATTCTCGTCCCCGGCGACCGTTGGTCTAATAGTGGCAGTGTTTCTTGACAACACCTTGGAAGTTGAGAAATCAAAGAAGGATAGAGGAATGCCATGGTGGGTTAAGTTCAGAACATTCAGAGGAGACAACAGGAATGAAGAGTTTTATACTCTGCCATTTAATCTCAATAGGTTTTTCCCCCCAACATAATTACAAGCAGCCAAGAACTTTGAGAAAAATGTCCTGCACAAGAAAGAATGGTTACAACATCTTTGAAGTGACAGCATTCCATTGTTAACGTCCCTTTATTATTATAATTATTATATTTTTTTGTGGGACCTGATTTAAGCGGTCCCGAGATTAGGATTATAGATTTTAATCCATGCCTTTTTTGTAGATGCATTAATAAATTAGTGGAAATTAGTTCTTATTCATCTGTCTTAGATTCTATGGTTTTTCCACAGCATTGGCCAATCACTTTCTACTGGTAATTTGCAAAACGTTCTATTAGTGAGTTCCAGTTCGGATGTAATCATGGAAAATAAAAAAAATAAAAAAATAAAAAAAAACGAGGAAACAAACTACTTGTTAAAAGCACATCGTAATCAAAATATATGCCATTGTTGAAGATGATTAATTCTTTTTTCTTTCAGAATTTGCAATTCACAGTGGGTTAGTATGTTAAATTATAATTTTTGAGGAATTTCTTTGATAGGACAGTTATATCACTCAATCTATCACTAAAGTAGAAGTTTCCATAGTTCTTTTCTTTCTTTTTTTTTTGTCCTACAGAGAAACTCTCTAATTGCTTCTCTAATTTCTTTAATTAAATTGTGTAATTACAACCCCCAAAATAATACTGATCAAACAGTTGGAAAATTAACAAAATTAACAAAATTGTGAAGCCTCAGAAAGCAGCCAGTATGTTTGACATCAAAAGAATTCAGACGGTAATTCCAACAAAAATAATACAATCATCACCGGCTTCATACAATTACCATAAATTTTACCAAGGCAACAAGGCATTATTACGTTAGAGAGAGAAGAAAAAAAAAAAGAAATTAGAATTAAAGTTAAAACAAATGTAATCGCACAAAACGGCTCCGTGGACCAACCGGAATCAAGATCCACAGGTTCCTATCAAGATGCGAAACAGAGGATCACTCTTGGACCAATCATAGCATCGCCGGTCAACGCTCTCTCTGAGCTACCGGCGACGTGGCATTGGCCCTCAGAAAAAAATAATTAAAAAATAAATCAAACTTTCCGAGAAAATGGAAGAAAACCAGGAAAGGAAAATGGAAAATGAAACCCTCAGAGACCCGTTTCAAATCACCCACGCATTGGAAACACACCGAGAAGACCAAATCGATCCCGGCCGGTCGGCGAAACGGCGGAAACGACGTCGCCCCCACAAAGGAGGCGAATCGTCCGGCGTTTCACGAGCGGCGGATGGGAAGGAATTTGGGGGTTCCGCAGTGGTGTGCTCCGCCGCTGGTTTAAGTGTCATACGGCACTTCCTATCAATTTTGGGAGTGCTTCCTCATCGGGATTTCTTCTTTCGCTATCCTTTCGTGAGAAAAAAGAATAAAAAGAATAAAAAGAATCCTATCCTCAATCGAATCGCCATTTATTCTCAAAACAGACGAAAAACCGCCATACGCAGAGCCCTAGCCCTAGATTCTGAGAATGAGAGGTGGATGGGTAAGTAGGAGACACTCGGAGCGCTTATAATTTATATAGAGACGGAGGATTCAAAACCCTAATCCCCTATTGTATTTTGTTTTTCCCCTTTTTTTTAGTTGTTTTTTTTAAGTTTTTTTTTATTATTGATTTTTCTTTGTTTTAGGTAAATAACACAATTGGACAACGATCTTTTAATTTTGACTAATCAGTCCATGACCTCTTTAATTTATTTGGTCCAATTGATGATAATTAACTGCAAATGTAGGTTAGTTTGAAGGTAATAAAAGTATTTTGGGTGAGATTTTGATTGACTACGGAAAGTAAAAGAGACTTTAGGGTGAAAAATTATGGTTGATAAAAAAAAAATGTGGAAAAATTATCTCTAAGATTTTAAGCCAAATTGACATATGAAAATAATATTAGCATCTATAGGCGTAGTGCTGCGCTTACACGGCTGGTCACAATAGCAAACATGCATATCTTGGTCCTCTAGTCTAGTCAATTTTAGACGCCCATTTAAAAAAAAAAAAAAAAAAAAAAAAAAAAAAAAGACACTACAAAGTATAAATCAAGAGATCAGGGATTGATTTGGTAAATTAAAAATTTGAGGATCAATTAATTAAGAACTTAAAAGATCAAGGACCACGTGTGCTAATTATCCTTTACTCTTGTGGGCTTATATTTGGTAGTTTGAGCCCATTTTGATAGGGAGTTCCGACTTCCGAGGTAAAATATGAGAATTTTCTCAAAATAGTTAGATTATTTGACATGTTTATTTATTTTTTTAAGGTAAATGTATTATAAACGCTAATACTTACCTCTCAACTATTGATCAGTTCCACCACTTATTGTGCAACGTGGGAGGAGAGAAAATGTTCACAGAGAACAAACACATATAACTATTTAAAAACACAGAGCTCGCGCGATGAGAAACTGACACGGAGAACAAATACACATATAACTATTTAAAAACACATATCTGAAATGAATGGACAATTTCGATCGATTGAGTTTAAAATATATGTAGATCAAAACTCACCCATAACACCATTGAGAAACACCTTATGCGAATGGAACACGACAAAACAATCAGTCGGTGTGAAAATCACTTTCTTTATTGTAAACCTAAAATAAACACACTAAAACAAGATATAAAACCTAAGCGACAGAAAACACATCACGTCCCGTTATTTTTTGATATGTTTATAATTGTATAATTGAAACATACTCTACTTTTTAAAAACACAGTTAGGAATAATATAATTATTTAGTAATTATTTTAATGGTTTTTTACTTTTGCAGCGTTTTAGTTCATGGTATTTGTTAAATTTTCTAATTTTTGTTATTACATCGCAACATGATTAGTAAAATACTGTTATATTTATGAAACGCCAAACTATTTCGAGTAAAAGATAAAAAAATGATAAAAAAATGTAATATAACGACTTGTAAGAAAAAAATTGCTAAATGTAAAAAATTGAGCAAAACAAATTTTTGTCCAAAATTTAATTTAAAAATGCAAGCGACAAGTAAAATGTAATATCCACAACGAAAATTTGAGCAAAAGACAGATTTTTATGCGGGGTAACTGCGTTTCTTCTTCTTCTTTTTTTATTTTTTATTTTTTTATTTTTTTATTTTTTTATTTTTTTATTTTTTTATTTTTTTTTTATTTTTTTAAGGATGGTTTGTTACTTTGTTCATTTATTTGGTGGTATTTAAGTATTTTTCTTTAAAGAAAATAATGATCACGTGATGGGCACGGGATAACAACCATCTAATTTTGCGTAAATTTTAATAAACCTGTAAAAATCTGTTTTTTGAATTTTGGTACTGGAAAGTGTGTTGTTGAGATGTCGATGGGAAGCGACACTACTTGGGTCGGGAAGAAGCCTCTTCGACGGATCGGAGGAATGTCCGATGCTCTCTCTATCGCCTCCGATCTTGGTTTCTCTGTCTCTCCACCTCCTACCCAGGTCAATTTTACTCTTTCTTTTCCTCAGTTTGCATGTGTTTTTCCCATTTGAACTTTTTTATGTTTTCGGTTATCATGATGAACTATTGAACTCGACCCCATTTTGCTTCTGAGAAAGATCAATTTGATTGTGGTCTGTATTTTCAAATTTTGGGTGTGCTTAAGGTTTGTTATTTGATTAAAGTTCTAATTTTTGGTGCCCAATTACCATGGAGAAGCAATTTGGGTGCTATGGGTTTAGGTCGTGGAAACGAATTTTGAGTAGTCTGTTGGAGAGTTTTGTTTGTATGTTTGAATTGGCTTTGGCATAGAAACGTTTTCCTTAGTGGCAACTAAGCAATATGAAATTTTTGAAAAGAAAACGAGATACTTTTACATGTTGTGATAGTTTAGTTTTTCTTAATATATATATATATATATATATATGTTTATATATTGGTGTATATTGTAGGAAGCAATGGCATGGCAACATTACCTATTAGGTCAATCATGTAAGATGGTTGAAACTGAAATTGAGTTCGTCTTATTGTCTTGTAGGAAGAACTTCAGAATTTAAACACTAGCACTGGGGAAAAGGGTGATGACTTAATAAGGGTTTTAAGAGAACTTACCACTGTTCAAAGAAAAATAGCAGATCTGCAAGTGGAACTTCAAGGGAGAAAGGTAAGTTTTTGCGGTTTCGAATTTCCCCTTTTCAGTTTGCATTACGGAAGTTTTTGCTAACTAGGAATTTTAGATGGTAACGAGATGTAGCATTCTTTTTGCATCATTCTGGGTGTCATCTGAGTTCATGTTCCGATCTTTTTTAGGATGACAAAAATGTGGCCCATCTGACTCATGTAAGCGAAATGCAAAAGAAGTGCGAAACATTGGCAAGGATTACTACTATACTGAAAGATGTAATTCAAAACAAGGTAAGTTAATTTCTTTGGTTTTTTCACCTTATTTTCGTCTTTTCACTTTAAACATATACGGGTTATTTCATTATTTTATGCTTTTACATGACTTTGAGCCAAATAGTTCCACCAGGCTCTGTGGCATTGCTAGTTGATCTCAAAGAAATCAACGTGGTTCTGAGTTCTATGTTTATAACAGAATCAATTGTTTCTTTATTTTCCTCCAAGAACGAGTTTCACTCCTTTGTTTGGAGGATGGAGGGAGGATGAAGAAGGGACAACATTCTTAATCTTCCTATGAATTTATGAAATACTTTCCTTTTTCTAAAATGAAAAAATTCTAATTCTTGAGGCCTCCTGATGCGGTATGTTCTTGTTTGCTGGTAGGATCGCATTATAGCTCGTCTTCAACAACCATATTCTCTAGATTGCATTCCAGTGGAAGCCGAGTATCAGGTTGGTTAAACATAAAGTCCATTTATTTTGATAAGATAAAATAGTAGCATTCTATTGTGCCAAGTCTGCATTCTAATGCACTAAGAATGTTCTCTCAGCTTATGGTATGTTTCACTTTGGTTTATCCAGAAACAATTCTCTGAATTTTTGATGAAGGCTGCTAGTGATTACGGGGCCTTGACGTCATCCGTTGCAGATTTCCAATGGAGTCAGACATTTAAGGAGCCACCTTCAGTATGGGGGGTATGCATTTAGAAGCATTTCATATTTTTTCTTTATCTTACTCTCCATTAATTAGAGCTAATTATATATGTCGTTTGTTTTTTGACGAGTGATCAATTGTCAAATTCAATATCCACAACCATGAACCTATTAAATGTTGCTACCAGTATTGTTGACTATTGAAGGAAAATTTTGTACTTGTGGATGTCCATAGATTAGGACCCCCAATTATTAGATGTTAAGAAAGCAAAAACTGGCCTCTTCTCTTTTATGTTTCCCAAAAATGCACTGATCTGCCTCAAAAGTACTCTTGTTGATGTTGAAATGTTGGCACCTGAGCGAAATCCTTCAAAAAGATGCAACTTATAATGCCTTTGAACTTATAATTTCACTGCATAGAATAATATTGGGTCAACAATTTTATTACTGGAAACCTTCAACTTTCTACATGCTTTAGAACTGAAATAGATTTTCCCCAAAAACTATGATATTGTTTGTCAAAGTAAAGGGATAGTATTGGTACATGTAATGGTGCGACTTCATTGGGTAATTGATGCAGGAAATGCTTCGTCCGATTCCCATTGCTTTGGCATCATGTACCCGGTTTTTCGAAGCAATGTCGGCAATGAGAGAATCGTTTGCGACACTTCAAAATCTAAGAGTGGGTCATTCTGCTCCATCCCTGCCTGCGACACCAGCCAAGGATTTCTCCCAAAGAGATTCTGACTGTGTGACTCCACCTCCTTGGAGAACCGAACCGAGCTGCGATGACTTAGCCATCAAAAGCTCCAGAAGGCAAGAAATCGACCAACAAATACAAGATGGAAGTAATCAGCCAGGTGACTATAATCAGGTGGATGGAACAAGCCAAAGGAGATTGTCTTGGCCTCCAGTTAAAAAGAATGTTAGTTAATAATACGAACTTCTATTTTCAATGGTGTTTGTTATTTCAGCTTTTATATTATGTGTCAAATAGCCAATGAAATCACTTTTCAGCTCGGGCAACCGAAGTCGAGCAATGTGTGTATTCTTTTGTGATATTTTAGCACTGTCGTGCTAGCTGGAACTCGCTTATTTGTGCAGTTATACACATTATTTTTTTCTCCTTCATAGTTTCATACTTTCGTTAACAATCTCAGTAGCCAAAAATTAAGGCATGTTCTCCTGCCAAATGTTTTGGAAAAATTTAAAAATTTTAGACAAGGGTCTGCTTTGAATATGTTTTTATGTTTTGAAGGTAGGAATTTCCTCAAACAGCGCCTTATGAAGATTCTTACCCTTTATTTCAATTTTAAAACGAAAGGCAAAATATGGGTC